CCGCCAACTGGGGGGAACAAATGGGTAAATTGTCCCAGGGCCCAGGACAATGGGGGGGCCAAAATACAGGCAGAAGATATACTTTGAAGTACTTTCCTCCCTGTTTGTTCAGTCTTCTACCTGCATTTGGCCATCACTATGTATTATGATATTATTATGTATCAGTATTCTTATATCCTACTTCAAAAGGGCTGAGCTGACTCCTATTGTAAAGAAACCTAACCTTGATGCTGGTTAAATCTCAAAATTTGCCTCAAGTCAAAGCTGCCTCATTTCACTAAAATACTTGAAAAACTAGTTGAAATCCAGCTCAGCTCCCGGCTTTCTAAATAACAGATTTCGGACCATCTTAAGCCTGGCTTTCTAAAGCAGCACTCTATTGAAACTGCTTTAGTAAAAATCCACAACAATGGTTATGGATGGACGGTAAAGTTCGCTGTTGGTGCAGCTGGATCCTAGTAACACCTTTCATACTGTGCAGCTGGTATATCCACCTGTATGTATGCTTTAGAGTGCATTAGATCAATGGCTCTCTGGTATTAAACACAGAAAACACAGCTGGTATAATGACTCCTATCCACCTACAAGCAACAATAAGCCTGAAAAATACCTTTTGGCTTAGCAAATAAAAACATTTAGCAGCTGGCGTTTAATTTGGATTTGATTCACATGATTTTCTTCACTTCAGGATGCAGCAGCCAGATGTTTCACTAAATCAAGTAAATTCTCCCATATTACCCCCATCTTGCATTGGCTCCCAGTTGATTTCAGAATTAGCTTTCTTACTCTCACCTAGAGGCTCTAAATGGTCCAGCTCTTGACTATGAACATGGGATTTTCCTAAATGTTCCTTATGGCAGAAAGCTGAAACCAACAAAGTTTTTCTGATTCTCTTGATATATAAATGTTATTAATCTATTCAAAAATGTTCTGTTCTGCCAGGCTTTTATTGTATTTCCGATGTCTTATCTAGCTCTGATTTTATTTTGTTTTCTTTATCTTGTTCTGAACTTGTGTTTTCTGTTTCTTATCTTATCCTTATTTTATTGTCCCTTCTGTGTCCTTAGCTCACCGTGAACAGCGCTTTGTGGCATTGTGTTTCCAAAAGTTGCTTTATAAATAATATTGACTTACATACTTGCCAACAACAAAAAAATTAAACTTAAACAATTAAAACCAGGAATGATACAATTGTACAGATGACCTCATACATTTGAGGCATGGTCATGCTGTAAATGTTTGAGCCTGCTGTTGTCTAAGCTTTTCCTCCTCTGGGCAGATTTTTTTCATTGACTGTGTAATTCAGAACAGCTCAGATCCCTACAATCATTTTTTATTAATCTTTTTCTATTTTATACCAGTGTTAAATTCCACAAACACTAAATGTTGAATATGCAAATAAAGAAATGCCATTAAAACAGTTCAATTTCTATTTCTTTATTTGAACTATAAACAATACTCTTAGCTGTCAACTGCTAAGCTAGTAAATAAAAGTTAAGCATATCAGCAGCCTGCCAGGTCTTTAATTTGGCCAAAACCCTTATTATATTTTTTATTGTTAATGTAAATCATATAAGTGTTAAAGAACTGATACATAAAAACCTAATATGGAGGATGTATTGTTGTTTTATGAAGTTCACCTCTGATTATTAGCAGATGGCTCTGCAAGAATTATTTCAGTAAGCCTTTTTCTTGCTATGAAAAAAATATGAATGATTTTACACGTGCTAATGTAATGCTGGCTTAAATTTGAGCTGTATTAGAGTTGCCTGCGATGGACTGGCGACCTATCCAGGTTATACCCCACCTCTGGTCCGACAGCTGGAGATAGGCATCAGCACCCCTCGCGACCCCGCTTCGGATAAGCGTGTCAGAAAAGAGATGGATGGATGTATTAGAGTTGTTTTTGTTGTTTTTAATGCTTTTGTTTGTGTGTTGCAACCACTGAGAGGGTAACATAGGATCCTCAACCTCCATTAAAGCTCCTTGCATCCTCACAGGCTAGATGCGCTAAACACACATATTGGCTGTCAGCAGCAATGCAATAGTATTGAGATGACATCATACAAAATTGAAAACAAACAATAATGAAATTATGTAAAAACAGGCTGTAGGGATTAAACCTTGATGCCCGTTTGCTCACATGTGGCCATAATGGCCATCAAGAAGACTCTGGAAGAGTTCTTAGTAAAACCAAGATAGATTGCATAAAGTTGACCAAATTCAACTGACCTATGCAGGTGAGTCTTGGGCAGCAGCTGACCTGAGCATGTCACAACCAGTCCTACATTATAAGTCATTTTCTGATCTTACATCCTGAGCCTATGACTCAACGTTCAGAAAGAGAGAATCTTCATTGACCCAAAGAACACAAAGACCAAAAATAAATAATAAACCCATAGACTTGGGGTAAATAGTCTTTTGATTTATGAGACTCTTACTCTACAGGTTAAAAGTTAAAATGACAGCTAGTTTTTGACAGTGAGTACAAAGACCTGTTAAAATATTGTATTATGAAGCTGAAATCTCAGAAAAGAAATCAGTTATTTATGACTTTAAATTCTGTTAAGCTTTTATTAATTTCATGTATTTACTAACTAGATATTTTTTTATTGTTTTTTTTTTCTGAAGAGCACAACTTGATGTCCTTCAAAAAATAACTGTTGTAAAGAGATGAGGTGATCCTGAACAAGGGACAACCTTTAAAATAATTCTTGAGGTTTTTATGGATTGGTTGCAAAAACTTGGTTGGTCAAACCATTTTTGGTTGCAACAACCAATGTTTTGGTCATAATTGGACCAAGCCATTGGTTACAGATCAGCCAATGTAAATGGTTATGCCAGGCATCCCCAAACTCGGTCCTCTAGGCCCGCTGTCCTGCAGGTTTTAGAGGTTTCCTTGCTCCAGCACAGTTGATTTTAATTGAAAGCTGATTAACAGGCTTTTGGTCTACTGCAATCCTTATAATCAGCTGTGCTGAAGCTGAGAAACCTCTAAAACCTGCAGGACAGGGGGCCTTGAGGACCGAGTTTGGGGATTCCTGGGTTAAGCAAACAACCAATAAACATGGTAACTGATGGTTTACGTAGTAATCTGACTGTTTGGCTGGAGTCAAGTGTGTAATAGTTATAGATCTAGAGAACAATCACAGTGATGTGTACATGTATAGCATACAAATCTTGAATATAACCTTGGTTGTAACATTAAGAATAACTATTAAAAAAATTCCAGGAAGCATCAGTGGTGTTGGATGCAGGAGTTTTCCCTGCAACCAAAGGGTTGATGGTTCTACCTTCCAATATCATTATATTATTTTGTATGTTTTGGTCAAAGTGACCAATTGGTATTGTTTTCTCTATTACCAATATAGATTGGTTAAAAACACGACCTAACCAACAGCTTTGCTTTCACAAGCAGATTATTATGACTGTTATCAGAAGGTTTTGTTTGGTACCTTTATATGATACTCTATTAAAAATTATTTAGGGAGTAAAATCATATAAACAAGAGACGAAAAGAGAAAGAAAGGGAATAAGAACTAAGGGGGGGGGGGGGGTGAGAGAAAGAAATAGAGACAAGAAAGAGTGCATGAAAGAGAGAAAAAACCCCCAGCAAAAATAGACAACACAAAAGACACACAGTAACTCCTACAAGTCTGCTCCCACAGCCATATGATATGAGAGGAACAGAAAACAGAATAAAACAAGAGCAAAAGGAAGAAAAATAAAGCCAAATTAAACTAACCAAACTTCAAGGAAGGTAAAACTAATTGTGATTACACGTATTCAGGGTGGTTAATAGCCTTAGCTGCAGCTTAGTATTTATTTTGTAATATTATTGTGTATCTGTGAACCCCTAGAACTAAACTTCAGTGGTATGTATGCATGGGCATGCTCGTGTATAAAGGGTTTACAAACTATTCTTCGGAAGGAAAATATGCTTAATAGCAGGCGTGGGCGGCAAGCAAGTAGCAAGTAGGCCACAACCCAGACCCGACCCAGTCTCAACCCCAGCTCCAACACCCAGTGCGCCCCAAAGAAAGGGAGAGTCAAGCCCGGAAAAAGATAGGTGAGGGACATGACACAGCGGCGATAGAGCACACGTACCAGCCCCGCCCCACACCCAAGCAGAAAGGTGACCAGCCAGTGTGATGCGATCTGACCAGGGGGCACCATGCCCTGATGATCCCCAGATCTGATCTTCTGACCCAGTATTCAGCATAGTCCAGGGCTCGCTATAGCCAGACCTGGAAATGACCAGAGCGAGACCCACACCTACGCCAAGGTGGATAGTGCGCCACACCCGATCCAAGACTCCCAGCAGCCACACACACAAACCCACCCACACAAACATTCCTCATACAAAAGGGAATAGAAACCGCCTGACTGACCAACCCCCTCAGGCCTCAAGTGGGGAAGCAGCAGAGCCCAGTAGAAGCTTCCCACCCAGAGGCAGCAGTAGGGGACCAGAGCCAATCCCAGAGCCGTGTGTAGTTCCTGTTTTCATTGCGTTTACACAAGTATGGTTCACCTGTCTCTATAATGCATGCCTTAAATCCATACAAATATTTAGTGAAGGGATGCAGCACATTAATGGTTGCTCTTAGCTGATGACCAGCAGGCTTAAACAGCTGCCACTTTTATGCCTTAGCATGAGTCAGTGCTCTGCTGATCTGAAAGGACTGCATCGCTCCACATTTGCTTCAGAGACTTAGAGGCAATGCGAGTGCCCATTCATAACTGTTGTAAACCTAAAACAAGCTGTAATGGAGAGGCTGGACTCATGCAACTGACGACTAAAGTTCCAGTATGTTGCTTCAGTCATTATTTATAAGATCTTTCTAGTATTCATCTTTTTTAAGGTACAACTCTGATAGCTGGTGATTTGTATTCTTAAAAATAGCCTGAGTATAAAATGTTCCAGGACATCAGATGTGAATTTTTCTGTGCCACACTATGTGCTGCTGCAGGAAAAGCACTTTGAAAACAACTGTACTCACCCAAAACAAGAAGCTAAAGAAGAAGAGAAAATATCTGATCCATGGGTTGACGAAGGAGAATGTCTCAGCTCGGTTCAGATTTGATTCTCTGTCCATTTTTATTTTTTTTTTTTATTTCCAATCAGACTTCTAAATGGAAATCATTTGCAGCCCCAGCCTGTGCATACCCAACTGTTATGCGAATGTGTGATGGGTTGGGTTGTTTGTAATCTGAAAGGGGTGTCAAGCTTTCTAAAAAAAATGTTAGGGGGGTTGGGAGGGGTTGAGTTGTGACACTGCCCAACCATGCTGGTAAGACCCAGAACTCTCCATGTAGTCTGACAGGTCAGATTGCACTGGATCTTTGTGGGTGAGTGCAGCTGAAAGGGCTATAAGTTTTGGTGTTATCAACCTTCCATTATTAGAACTCATTTAACCTCAAAGTCTGTTTTAATTCAGCTTTTTGTGTCACATCAAAGTTTTAGATCCCACATCCTATTCCCGTGAGCGCGTTGCCCACTTATTTCCTTACTTAAAGCTTATTGCTTTTGAAAGGCTCATGTCCTAATTGCAGCTTCAAAAGACAGATGCAACTCTGCAAAGCATAAAGCAGAATGACAGCTGACAACAGCTGGACAACATCATCTTTAGAAAAGGAACATTTAATTTAGTTAGGGAAAAAAAAAGGCATTTTTTATGTTTGTTAATTCTGCTTTATGGAAAAGGAATGAACTTCTACAAACATACGATCTGCCAAATCCATGTGATGTGATGTGGAAAAAAAAGGAAGAAACCTCAATGTTATTTTTTTGCATTTTAGATTAAAATGTGTCAGAGTGAGCTGGGGAATCACAGGAGGACTCTGTATGGGTAAAATATTCATGCTAAAACTTACATTTTTTATTCATGCTAACATGATAAAATTCTGTTTTTCTATTTTAATGAAAGAATTTCTCCTAATCTCAGGAATCTTAAAATTTTAGTTTTGCAATGTTTTATTTGCCTATTTTTTTTAAACACATTTTCTGTTTATTTCTTTAGCATGACACAATGATTCTGCATTATCTGTGACTTTAGAAAACCTGCATGTGATGAAATATTCAAGAAATAACTTTCCTAACTATATAGAATAGTAAAGAAGAGTGGGTAGACATAAAACTACAATAAAACACAAGGATTTTAATGCTTCATAAAAAGAAAATTCTCTCTTTCCATCATTCCACCAAACTGATCATGACAGGTGTTCTCCAATTTTTAGAGTGAGTCTGAAAATATTGTATGCTATCGATATTGCCACTCTCTCTGAATAATAACATACTTACATTTATCCGTGATGCTGGGAAGTTCTCTAGTTGGTTATGTCCTGGGACTCCTGATTCCTACTACTGATACACCATTGCACTTATACCCTGCAGCAATGATAAGCCTTGATTATTCTTTCCTCGGGCGATCCTTGTGGTTTTTGCAACTGCACTTGGATAAACTTTCAAAGTTTTTCCTTTCCTCCAATTAAGAAATCTTCAATCTTCAAATTTTCTTTAGCTAGTTTCATTCATGTCTAGTGGATCACTTGGATATCCTGCTGTTATTCACTCTAAAATGCAGATGGACTTCAACACATTTTTGGTAATCCCTAAAAGGTCCTAGATCTCTGTTGAAAAAAGCATTTGTTTTCTATTAGTATCACATGTGTGTTCAAGCTTTTATCAACCACTCAGATTGCATAAAACTACATGTTATGGGATAGTTTGATTTCCTTATTTGTAACTGGAAATGCACCACCGGAGGAAAGTTCAAGAAAATACAAGCTTTGCCCCTTAGATTAGTATTCATACCTGTTCATATTTCTTTTATTTCAACTATGTACATTCAACCCTGGTGAGGGAAAAGTTCCAAGATTTCAAGCTTGTTTGGAAAGTGTTGTTTTACTGGTCTAAATTCAAATGCTAAATGAACAAGGTTAGTATTAATGGCTGCCTGGCTCATTAAAAGATGTTTGGCCCTCAATCACAAGCCTTGAACTGAGAGAGAACCGTTTCTTTTTTACATGTCCTGCATGACTATAGAACTACAATGAGGAAGCAGGAAATCCCATGTGCAGTTTGCTTCACACCATGTGACACAGTCATCATAAAAGATACTAAGACACCAATTAAGAAAACTGCCACCGTTGTGAATTACAGGTATATAAGGCTAGTTACTGAGCTCCTTCAAATCCATGATCAGGGAGCCAGTTTCTTTATGCTGTGAAACAAATTTACAATACAATTCTCAAACTTTCTTCAGGCTTGTATTTCTTTAAGCTTTTATTTTCCAATATTATTTTTCTGGCTTCTGCTTTGCTAATATGATCTCATTTTCTAGTCTCCTGACTCAGGGACTGCAGGACATATTTAAAATCATGTGGACTGTTTCTGAGATTCTGTGTCTACATATGTCTCTACCAGCTCCTCTTCCTCAGCTTTTTACTGCTATTTCAACTTCACAGTCTATTTAAATAAGGTGTTAAAACAGATTTGAATATTGACATACCTGCAAAATTTGATAAATACATATTTTTAACATTAAACAATGTAACCAAAGATCTATACTTACAGATGATTTAATAACACAACAAACATTGATAAAAATGTTTCCTTCTGTTCTTTTGTTTTGTCCAGAGATACAAAACTCTGATGATATAATCATCTGACATTGATATCGCTATTATAGCCAGTAACCAGAATGCACCTGTATGCATTTGCCTACCCTTCTATAATTGTGAAATTTAACCACAGCTCTAATGGGATTATATCTGAATAAATAAAGAATAAAAAGAGGTTTCATCTTGCTTTAGTTAATCATCCCACAATCCTGCCTGCTTCATCGCCACATGTAAGCTCCTCCCTCCCAAAACAATACTGTATCTTGCATAAGTCACCACTCATGTTTTATAAGCATTTTGTGTCAAGGCTCAGATAGTAGGACTCAGAATCCAAGCAGACAGAATAGATGTGTTTGAAAATGAAACGCTTTATTGACTGCTCAGTACACTGTGGCTCATCAGCCGGGCCGTGCTTACTCTACTCTGTAGAGTTAGATACTCAGGTTAGTGACCAAGAAACTCGGAAGGGGAATGATAGTGAGAATGTGACTATCCTGGTTCTTAAGTTCTGTCTGTGCCCAGAGAAAGGAGTAGAAATCAGTCTGATGATTTCTCCACAGCATGCAGTGGGAGCCACCCAGAAAGTTCCAGGAGTGAGGCAGAGCAGAATGACGAGCGGAAGCTAGCAGACATGGAAGAGCAGCAGAATCCAGAGCAGCGTTGATGCTGGAGCAGATGTCCAGGCCAGAGGATCAAAGAGACGAAGAGGTACCGAAGAGGAATCCAAAACCCAGGTAAGGGGACGGATCCAAGTTCGTTAACAGACAGAATCCAGCAGTTCATAGATGTGACAGGCAGAAACAGACCACAACAGAGGAGCACATAACCCAGCAGTCCAGATCAAGAAACAGGTTAGAATCAGGTAATCAAAAACACTACTGGGTAAGCTAGAGAACTCTCACACAGGGCTTGCATAACTTGGCACTGATGGCTGGAAACAAGCAGCTTAAATAAGAAAAGGAACAAGTGGATCTGATGAAAACTGGGCATAGCTAAGCAGGTGGAAGGAATGAACTAATAATCCAGTCATCAGTGCCAAGATCATGACATTTGTTTTCATCAGACAACCCTGAAACCTTGAATTGTCCCTCCGCAGTCTTTAATTTAGAAGACGAGACATGAAGCATGTTCAGCTACAAATAATAAATGTTATGTCCTGGACTGATATCTTTAACAGCACATCCTCTAAAAAACAACAACTCCCAGCTCCAGCTTAACATTCTGTTCCTTTCCTTTCATGATTTGCAGTAAAAGTTGTCATTGCATAATGTACTTCTAATTATAGTTTTCTGATGCAGGAATATAGGAATACATGTACACTTTAACATCTTGGTTTCTCCTAATTTTCCAGCTGGGTGAAGCATAAGCTGGTGAGTTTTTACATGTCATCTGGAAATGTATCCCAGATAAAAATGTCAACAGCCCTGAAATTATTCATTAAAATCCTGTAAATGTGGATGTGAATAAAATTAAGCAGTTAAAATTCCAGGTCATTCATTGTTTAAGTAATAACTTAAAAAACAATAATAAAAAAAAATCCAATAACTACAAAAAAAATGAATTTTTAGGTTTTAGTGAAAGACTTTTTGGCCTTCATCCAAAAGACTGTCATTTCAGAGCTTGTGAAGGAAAAATGTCAAGCTTTAAAGCTCTGTGAGTCTGTTTTGTGGATCTAAATTGCATGCAGATTGGAGTCCCCATGCTGTAGGGGGCCTTAGCCTATCTCACTGAGAGATGTTTGGTGCCATGCAGGAAGTGTGAATTGGTATGCAACTAACAGGAGGGGTAATGCTGGCCTAAGCTGAAATACTTTGTGGTGCTTTAAGTGGGATCAAAATGAAGAAGAGACAAAAATGCACCTATGGGGATGGTAAAGTAACACTAGGACTAATTTTATAAAGTGCTGGTAGAGAATTTTTTATTTTTTTTGCTGTCCTTGCAAGCTGTTTATCTAATGAAACTCCAAAAAGTTTCAAAAATGTTTGACCTTATTCAGGATACTGACCCCTATGATTATGAAAAGCTTTGTTTTCCTGTGGAGGTTTCATTAGGGAGAGCTTTTTAAATCTTAAACATGTCTGATGAACTTCTACAACAGGGTTCCTCGATTCTGGTCTTTCAGGTTAGGTGTCCTGCACCTTTATATTTTAATACAGCAGGACTTTTTGCTATTATTTGAGTTTGCAAACCATTTTTTCAATGTGTTCCTTCATACTTCTAATTAAATGTAATCGTCATCAGGTTCTTGTCTGAACCGTTAAGCAAACCAAAGCAAACACACACTGCGATGAAGGTAGAAGACATGCAGGAGCACACTGTTTACGGTCGAAATAATCAATGTCTCTGTCAATAGAAGTATTTATTAACGCTTTGTTAAAAAATAAAACATAGGTCCGGGTGTCTCTGTGTGATAATTAAACTTTTGAGCAATGCGAGCTGATAGAATTATGACATCATTAAAAGGAAAGTCAGAAAAATCTGCATCTAACTATTAACAACAGCCATTAGCAGAGCAGTCAATGAACGCTGCTGTGGAGAAGTTTGTTTGGATGTGTAGTAGGAGCCAGGAC